CTTTCCCTCTTTGGCTAGGGGGGGAACTGCATATTGACCTTTGGGTGTAGCCTTATTTGTGATGAACAGAATTAATTTGATCTGTGAGCTTTAATTGCTGGTGTTTAGCATTTAAAACTGACTTTAAACAGCATTATGAAAAAATCTTTGTTCCATTCTTTGTTGCCTAATTTCTATACCATCCTCAGAAATAGGATGAATTCTAACATTAAAGTCAAAAAGGACTCAAAAAAAAAAAAAAAAAAAAAATCATGCCACCTTCACCTATCACAGCCCTTAAAGCACAGACATTTGTAGACTACCTTGACCATCCCACTGCAGGGAAGTGGACTCCTTTAACCCAAGGTACAGTTGTCTGTATGTATGAGAGAATAAAGTGTTTCCCTGATGTGTAACTCTTAAAAAATGCAACCATTTTAAGGTATAAAACATAGTAACTCTGAAAAATGCCTTTTAGAGTTCTTACAGGTAGTATGCTAAGCGCATCTATCTTGATAAGCTTACGTATCTGGACACCACAAGAAATAACTTGTCTCATACCATCAAGTTCAGTTTCAGCAGAAACCTGGTAGTAAACTGGTATCTTGGCACGGTCTTGCTTGCTGCCTGAAATCGTGTGTTTCCTGAAAGAGCAACTAATGTATGTATTACTGTAGTAGTACTTTTGGAGCTTTTGATGTAGAATGATGGTGTCTTCAACATTACTGCTTTCTGGAGGTTTATTTTCCAGATTGAGTTTTAAGTTGCTCTTAGTTCCTGCCTGAATTGATGTATAGAGCAAGTAATGAGATTATGAAACTTAACTGACGCTCTTTAATCTACCTGTTTGAATTGTAATATTGCAGTTGTAAAACAAGTCTGTTTCCTAGCACGTTTGGTATCTAATGACTCAGTGTTGACTTAACAGGGCATGGAAGGTAAATTTTTAATTTTTGTGCTCTTGCAGCAAGTGCATTTTCTATTTTGTTTTGTTTAGAATATAAATGCATATGGAATAAAAACATGTCTAATAATGAAAGGTCACAGTGTGCATTCAGAGCCCTATATGTCTCATCTGATTTGTCTTTCACGCCAACCTTATAAACTATCTAACGGAACCCAAACTTGTAGCATTTTCCTTAATCCCAGCACTTCTATTACTTATCCTTATCAAAATTTGAGGCATGTTGTTAAATTTGGGGGGAAATAAAATTCAAATTTCTTAAGTCTGTAACCAGAACACGCAGCAGCTACAGCTAGATCTGATAAGGCCTGTGTGTCTCAAGGTATTTGAGCCTTAAATCATGTTTTCCCACTATTTCTTTTTTTTCTTAAATATTCCATTGTTATAATTAGCTCTATTCTTTTCCCAATTTTGCCAACAGTCAAACCTGTTTTAACTTGGAAAAACAATCTGAACACTGAAAAGAAGTTTATTGATATAATGGAAACTGATCACAAACCCGGTGAATTCTTTGGTTCTTAAAACTGCAGTTTCATGTTATACGGTTTCTATATATAGGCCACAATCTATGCCAAAACTGGAAAAATATTATATCTCAAAACAGACAGATGTTTTATGGATTTCATGAACCTTAGGTTGTGCTTGTCCAACCAAATTATACGACCATAATCCTGAAAAATTAAGGGAACGGCATAGTCTAATAGGTGGTTAGTCCTAAACTCTAATCCACATGCTTTGTAAGCAATAATTACTCCATCAACACGAGCTTGATATCAGCCTCATGTTAACACTTGGGTAAGAGGATGCATATGCTTGGCAAACATCCTGAATTTTAGCAGTGTCTCAGTAATGTCAGTAATATGACCTAACTGAATAGAAAGTTTTGTAGAAATGTGGAATGGATTTATCCTTTTTCAAGATGGGACATTAAGGTACAGGCTTCTTAAAAGCATTTGATACTTGGTAATGGAAGATGTAATATATTTGTGGTAGCAAGGGACTTGGCATGGAGAACTCCAGTCAAAAGTATATTTAAATGTGAGAAATGTTTTATGAAGGCTGTGTACTGCTCAGTTTTTTTGACAAGAGTGGAAAAGCTGGAGTCCTGCAGATACAATTGAGCATGTTCACAGTCCCCTTGTAGTGCTCCTCTTCTAAAACTCGTAGAATTTCTGCTTAGCTTATTTTGAAAGGCAGGGTTGAATGATGATTTCCTGTGAGACAAATAAGTTCTTTGATACTTGTTTTTTTTCTGACACTATTTATCAACATTTGATCTCTGCTGTTCAGATTGTTCAGTTGTACCAAGTAATGTGGGATTTAATTTGCCTAACAGTGGTATCCTCAAAGTTAGGTACCTGGCTGCTGGAGACACTGAGCATTGTTAGGCGTTTCCCACTGGCAGAATGGTCAGATCTACCTTGATGTTCCTGTTGTTCTGCATTGACTAGCTTAGGGAGTTAAGGTTAGAGCAGGTGGTTTCTACCGTTCATTTCTTACCAGTGTCGACTTCATAATAGAGTCGTACAGATCTATGCAATTGTACTGGGCTCTTTGGCAGACAAAGCTTAAAAGATTGTGGAGGATTTCTACCTTGAGAGATTATTGTTGTGTTTAGGTTTTTATTGTTTTTCCCATTTCGTTTCTTTTATTTTTACACTGTAAGCATCTCAAGCAGTCTTGTTGGTTTCGTAGGAGAGCTTTTCCATGCAAAAGTAATGTCATGAAGTTGGAAAGTCCTGTCTGTGTCGTGCTGGCAAAAGGTCTGCTATAAGCTTACTGTTACAAGAACTTATTTTATGCTTGTTTCTTATTACTGATGCTCTGGGTTAAGTTTGGTTAGATTTTTGTTTGTTTGGGGGTTTAAGAGCACTTTTTTTTGTTAGCATTACACAAAACTTAGTAAAGATAAGAGTTTGATGTAAAAGGCACCTGCTATAACAACATTCTTATTTGCTCAACAGAGATGCAGAACAGCTGTCTGTAAGGGAACTTTGCCATTCCAAGAAAGCTGCAAAGAGCAATACAGATGAAATGGATTCCAGGATTCGGGATACAGGCAATGACAGTGCTAGTACTGCCCCAAGGAGCACAGAGGAGTCTCTTTCAGAAGATGTTTTCACAGAATCAGAACTCTCTCCAATACGTGAGGAACTTGTTTCCTCAGATGAGCTTCGACAAGACAAATCTTCTGGAGCGTCATCAGAATCTGTCCAAACAATAAACCAGACTAGTGTTGAATGTTTAACAGTCATTTCAGACTCAAATGAAGCTGCCAGTGACTTAAAACCCAGTGCTGAAACGGTTGTAAATGATAAACAGTTTGGTACCCACAGCTTAGGTTCAGAAAGTGCTGGAACGACTGTAAAGGAGGGAGAAGAACCTAATGAAAATATTGCAGATGTCCTCCAGCAGTCTTTGCAAGGATCACATGGTGATGAAGTGTGTAACAAAGAGGCAGAAGTGGGCAATAATCAAGATTACTCACTAGGAAAAGAACCAGAAGGAGAGGGAAAGATGGGAGAGGAATGTTGTGAAGATACCACAGACTCTCAAAAGGAGGAGACAACTAGCAAAGGAAAAATAGGGAGAGAGCAAACTCAAGACTCGGAGACAGAAGTTGAGGAACTCCGCAAACTCTGGAAGACCCACACTATGCAACAAACCAAACAACAAAGAGAAAACATGCAACAGGATTCACGAAAAGAAATGAGTCAGAAAGCTGTGGCTGCAGGAGATGGGCAGTTAGAAGGTGAGTGAGTCAGTATTTATAGGTATGGTGTCAGCCTTTAGATTTACAGTGTATGACGCTCCAGCTCATCAGAATTTTCCTTGGTTTTTTTTTTCTGTACAACACATCTCCCCGTATATTGCTTATATTTCTCATTGGCTTGAATACCTAAGTTATATCTTATATAAACCAGTGGGGAAAATATTGCTCACGAAACTGAAAATGTGGATACCTTTGTGTTATTTTTCCTCATAGAAATTATATTTATGATTGAAGATATGTTTATGATCATATTAAAGCACAGTGTCTTTGTAGGGGAGATTTAAGTAGGCCTGTAAAATTAGATCCATGATGCATTGGACGCTGTAGAGCTCAAAATTACAAATGTTCTTTAGAATCAGCTAGCTGTTGCTTAAACTTTGATCCCAATGTATGTGTGTAGAAATTAATTTCAGGGAATTAGTTTTATTTTATTTATAGCATATCTACCTTGTGGTTACTATCTATGATGTGAGCAACAGACACTGAAGTCTTAACACTGTTTGATACTTTCAGAACTTTGTTTCGCTTCACAGAATCACAGAATGGTAGGGGTTGGAACGGACCTCTGTGGGTCATCTAGTCCAACCCCCCTGCCAAAGCAGGGTCACCCACAGCAAGCTGCACAGGACCTTGTCCAGGCGGGTTTTGAATATCTCCAGAGAAGGAGACTCCACAACCTCCCTGGGCAGCCTGTTCCAGGGCTCCGTCACCCTCAGAGGGAAGAAGTTCTTCCTCATGTTCAGACGGAACTTTCTATGCTTCCGTTTGTGCCTGTTGCCTTTTGTCCTGTCATTGGGCACCACTGAAAAGAGTCTGGCCCCATCCTCCTGACACCTACCCTGAAGATATTTATGGGCATTTATAAGGTCCCCTCTCAACCTTCTTGCACGTTGTCATACTTCTGTGCTGACTAGAACAAGGTTGAGCATAGAAAAAGCATTTCTCAGGATAAAGAAGAGCTAAATGGTAAGAAACTAATGCTATGAAGATGAGGAACTACTAGGTTTGTTTCTTCACTACCTTTACTCCTTTGCAAAGATCAGGCTCTAGGATTGTTAGTCAGAAATTATATTGAAAATCTGTTGAAGTTACTCAATTCCTGTAAAAAATGTTGTCTTTTAAGTAACTGAAAGATGTTTCTGTATGTTTTTTGATTTGGCTTTTTAAAAAATTCATAGGTCACTTTCTGATGCCTTACCATCTGACAGATGGAAATAAACTAGTTGTTTTAGTTGTGCAATATTTTTGAGGCTAGAAAGAAAAAGTATTTATAATGCCTGTCACAAACTAATAGATTATATGTGAAGTGCATTTGAAGGTGGAGTTGTTTAAGAATTAAAAGTTGAGATTGTATTGAACAGAAAGGTATTCTTCAGTTAACAGAAATTCATCTTACACGTCAGAAACTGATATGATTGTTTTGGGAGGGTTTTTTTTTCCCCCTTCTGTTAAGGAAGTAACTGAATTTTGACATTGGAAGCAGATTAATAGTTGCATCATTCTGAGGTAAGTTTGGCTTTTATGCCTTTAATATTATAGGAGATTTTCTGACAAACGTCAGCTGGCAGTAGTTGCTGGTTGTGACTTAAAAATACGATCACGAAGTGTGTTTTGCTATAACTGCTACTTTTCTTGCAATTGAGTAGTGTTTGCAATTCAGTTGTATTTGATGCTGTAGTTTTTGTCTGTTTTCTAAAGGATTGAGTGACTCTGCAGGTTTTTCATGCATCGTGATCTGTACGGTCACAGACTATATACATATATAATCAAAAAAGTGTCTGCATACAGTCAGGCGTGCTGGCTAGAAACCTTCTGCACATGATGTTACAGCCTCACTGAAGGTTGTGGGGTAAAAAAGAAAAAAAATACTAAAAAAAAAGCATGGGTTACTTTTGAAAGATTTGTGCAAATGACTTCAGTCCAACTTCAGTTGGAATTATTGTATGTTTCTTATTGTTGCATGTTGTATTAGCAGAATGCAAATAAAACAGTAAATTATGAAATCATATTTTTCAATCTAGATAGATTTGGTGAAGCTTCTGCTGGCTTTGTCTACAGGAAAGTTTAAATAGAGCCAAGGTAAAAGCATAGCTCTATTTCTTAACTCTTGAAGGTCATCAAAGACTAAATATGACAGGTCTATTAACAGTAAGTCACAAAAACACTAGGTCATTAAAAAATTGAATCACTGTAAACGCTTTCTAATATCCTGTCTACCAGCGTAAAACTCTGAAGTAGTCATCCTATGAATTTTTATCATTAAGTTGCCTAGATAGTGTTTTTATCTCCTGCGTACAGCAAGGACTAGGATGAATTTCTTCTCTTTCGTGGGAGTTTGAGCATCTGGTTTTTTTGGGAACTCCCATTTGTTGATCTTTGCAGAGGTCAGCTGTTTCTGAGCTTGGCATTAATGATCTGTGTGTTCTGAATGTTGAACAGGTGACGCAATGCAAGTTGATAACTATGAGTAGACTAGAATAGCTAAGAAGTTCTCCTTTGGATTTATTTTTTTATTACCCAGGACTCTCTTATCTTCTCTTCTAGTTGTACAAAGACTTACGTTAACTACTGGACTGAAATGAAAGCCAGATGTAATTGGTACTTTGGAGAAATTGTAGTGGTCTGTAGTTTAGTGTGTGTGCATAAACAAGCTGAAATATCATAAAAGATAACAAGTCTATCTGCTGCTTGGTGAGCTGGATATTGGCAGAGACTGAAAGGGGAAAAAAAAAGCATAAGATGCAATAGCAACTACTGATTTTTTTGTTCTGATGCATTCTGTATCAAATGTACAAAAATACATTCGAGAACACACCCAAAAAGAGCATCTTAAAAAGTCCTTTTGAGGATTTGGGGGCAGGGCTGAATTGTTTGTTTTCGTTCTTTCTGCTAGCTGGAACTATCATCTTACTTGTTTTTCTTTTTAAAGTTATAGTACAAATCCTACTTCTCTGAGCACTAGGTCAGAGAAGTTCTAAACTGCTTCATCTGAAGGACTGAAATCCCAATTATCAGATCATTTTATGAGTACTTCTGTAACTCTGCCACAAAGTTCATGTGCTGATCCCATGAAACAAATTTTTTTGTTTATTTTGGGTTCTTTTTGGTTTGGGTTTTTTGTCTGACAGTTTACCTTTGAGCTGACAGATCTATAAAATACTTCCAAATCAAGTATATTATTACTATTCTATCGTACTGTATACTGCAGGTATAGTTCTAAAACGTTGCAACTGATAATTTGGAGGTGCACAGTTAAATATTTACTGAAAGGAAAAATACTCTTTTGTGGAACAACACTATTCTGAACTTTACATTGAAAATTTGATTGAGAAAACATACAGCAGAGATCTTCATAGATCAAGAAGGTGATGGCTTTTGTGCTTAGCGTATCTGTAGACTGCATAGACACTGAATGAGAACTCCAGCTGTAAAGAAAATATGAGTGTCCTAGCAAATTCAGACGTATCTTAAGTACATGAAACCCCAGAGGTAGGATAAATCCTTTTGTTGTCATAGCTTATCATAAGAACTCAAAAGTCTCCTGTGTCTGGAGCTCATTTTCTAGGATTTGGGCAATTAATCTAGCAAAAAAACAGTGTTGAGAAGGCTTCTTCCTTTACCTTGTGCTGACTTGACAATCCAGACCTTGAGTGCAATTGTATAATTCTATTAGTTCAATTAAATATACTATTGAAGGGAAAAATCCAGTACCACAACATCTAGTATACATCATCCCAAAGTGGTGTTCATATCTTTGAAGTGTTTGATATAGCTAACAAATTAAAATTCATCTCAATCCTCTCTTAGTGCCAGAGCTTTCTTTTTAAATAGAAAGTAACTAATGAAGAGCTTTGATTATAAGTAAATCAAGCCGAAGTACTTATTTAATGCTGTGTCTTTTGCATGCATATGTAATATCTCTTAAACAGTGGGAGGGTTGTCTGCTTCAGCGCTGAGAGATATGCATTGAGAATACGCGCTGAAATACTTTCAGGCGTGGATGAAAGACTATCATAATGTGATCTCGGGTTGGAAGCAGAAATGAATAATTCTAACATTTATTAAGTGTGTTGTACTCTGAAGTTAATTCTGCTGATGCAATTTATGTAACAAAAAAATAATTATTACTACCTATGTTTCCTCATCTCCTATTACTTATTTGTATATGTGTCCTGTATACCTGTATTCCCTAATGCAAAATTTGCTGATAATTTTGTTAAGCTCTTTGTACATTGTGGATAGCTTGTTTTTTTTCTTTACTAATAGGTCCTTCTCTTACGAAAGAAAAAAGACGACATCGATCTCACAAGTTTCTGCGTCTCAGGGTTGGAAAACCCATGAGAAAAACATTTGTTTCACAAGCAAGTGCATCAATGCAACAGTATGCACAGAGGGATAAAAAACACGAGTACTGGTTTGCTGTTCCACAAGAAAGGTAAGAAGAAGGTAGAGTGTTTAAAAAAAAAAAAAAAAAATCAACACTTTCCAATAGATCTTTGAGCTTTTCTTTTTTTCTACACCATTCAAAATTTTTCAGTGACTGTGTCTATGAAGCAGCACAAAAAAGGGTCAATAACTGAGGATGTTGGTGATTGGCTTAAGACTGGAATATCTCATTGCCACCCTGAAGTTTTACTGACTTACTTGGGTTACTTGCAGGTTCAGCCAGTAGTTTCTCATGGTATTTAGGCTTGTGTTTGTATGAAGTGAATAGTGAAAGAAAGATTTAAGTGGTGTCTGGTGAAGGAAGTGAGTTCTGTAACAAAGCTTTTATTGTCGTTATCTGTGCTTCTCATGATTTGGAAACTTTCTAAAAATTCTCTCTCCTTCTTAAAGCTCTGAGTTCAGAAGAGCTAGCAGAGGTTCTTTTGTCTTATCTCTATATGTGGAACACAAAACTTTTCCAGGAAGCAACTTAAACATATCTACAGGAAAAATATCTAAATTTGTTGCAGTGATTCAAGGGCATCAGATGTCTGTGCTCACTCGCTGGTAAAGTCTTGAATCCTTAAATGATCTGCTAAGAAACTGTGACTTATTTTCAAGTTGAATGTGATTTTTAGGAGTATTTGAGATTATATCTTTGTCAGAAGAGGGGGGGGGTAAAAAGAAAGAAACAACAACAAAAAACTATCAGCTCTCATCTTGTATAAATACCTTCACTCAATGATCAAGTCACTTTTCCATCTTTTCTTTTGAGCTGAATGGCATAGAATGTCCAGTTGGGGCACTGCAGTTGAGAACAGATATGGATGAATTGGAGAGAGTCCAGAGGAAAGCAGCAAGACTAATTAATGCCTAGAAAGTGTAACATATAAAGAAAATTAGAAGTAAGTGGGGTTCTTTAATCTAAAGGAGAAAAGGTTGATTACAAAGTCATTTCATACTAAAGTTGGCTGCAACAAGAAAGGCAATAGGCTATTTTTTTTTGCGTTTGTGTCCACTGTGAAAGGAGATGTGTAATGGACTGAAATGACAACAAAGTATTTGAGTTTTCCAACAGGGAAGATAGCACCTATGCTAGCACATCACTAACCTACTTTTAAACATCACCCCCGCAACCCCTGAGTCATGGAGATTATGCAATTTCTTGAGAAGAATGTCAGTTACACTGGTTCTGGTATAGCCAATCCTGTCTGGGCCAGGTGACCTCCTGTAGTCAACTCAAATTTTCTTGTTCTATTCATATCATATTTGATTTGAAAACAGATGAATGTTTCACATATGGCAATGATGTCTAGGTCAGCTGATTAAAGGGATTATTGTCTCTTTGGTTTATTTTCTAATGTAGCAGAGCAAGTACTTAATTTCTGCTTTATGCTGAAGTTATCACCTTATTTCAGAAGAAATAGTTCTTGATTTACAGTCTGTATCTGATCTCCTTGGAAATCATTCCACCTGCGAAGGGTTCTCTCTCCAACTGCATGGAGAATTAGTAATCTGTTATTTATCCATCCAATGTGTTTCCAATGTTTTTGTACACAAAGTCACATGTGGTGGTAGTGGGGTGCTTATTTTCTTAATTCAGTGTTAACCTTGCTGAGTGCTACTCTGCATAGGTCAAAATATTTAATGTCAACCCAGTTGTCTTTGTCACCTAGTGGTAAGAAAGAGGAAAAAAAGGAGGTATCTGACAAACCTGCATTATTTCAGCATTCTGAATCTCAGATGAGCCAGTCTGGGAAGGGGTGTCTTAGAGTTCCTTAAACATCAAGTTTTATTTACTTTAGGTGCTGTAATTATACACAAGTTCAAGTTCTTAAAAAATTAAAATCAGAATTTTAAAAACATAAAACATTTTCCTACTTTTAAGACTCCTTAAAATTGATACCTCATTCAGTGCGCGAGGAGTCTTCAGCTTCTTGTTCTGACTTTGTCATTGAACTTACCTAGCCTTACGCATCTGATATGTTTCATTCTCTCATCCTGTCAGAGAAAGATTTGTCTTTTTTTTTTTTTTCTTTGCTTTCATCAATGTTATCCAGGAACCTTATTTTTAACAAGAGTGAGTTTGAATAACTGACCCTGTCCAGAGACTGTTATTACGTACCTGCGTGCTGCATCCTTTCAGACATAGAGGCACATCAAAACTATAGCTGCTGTTTTGAGACAATTTGCTGCTCTGTATCTCTTGCTGTTCTTCCAGTATTCAGTCTGGCAGGGATTTGGGAGGGGGGGGGCAGGAATCCAAATGTTGTTCGTCGTGCTAATCCAGTGTGCAGATTCACTCTAGCAAGTGGGGTCTGAAGAGGGACATAGGGAATACTCAAACTCTTGGTAACCAGAGCCGTAAAGCCTTAGCTCTGGAGCTGTCTTATCCATGATGAAGAGATACTAGTGGATTTGTTGCATGTCCTTTTTCTAAATGCTGTATCTGTGCAACTACTGGTAAAACAGTATAGACTGACATCAGTATGGGGCTGTAAATAATTTCCTTCTGGGAATTTGGGCATTTTGTTCTTCCAAACTGGAGAACCCTGCCATTTGTGTCAGAAAACTTAAAAGGAGGTAACTTTGGATCTTGGTACTTACTGCAGTTAGACTAGTCTGTAGCTTATGATCTAGCAGCATATATGCACACTTTCAGCTGTATTTCCTCATATATGTAGCAGTTCTCAAAGTCTGTATAATTTTGGTTACATGTTTTGGGAGTGTTGAGCTCTTCATCAGGGGTAAGGAAAACAGGCATGCACACGTTTTTAAATTCCAATTTTCTTCCTGTTTTTGTGTAACACTAAATAAAAAAATCTTAGTGTTTTATTCTGGAAGTTATTTCAGTTGTAAACAGAGGCTTCCGATGGGACAGAAGTGGTGGAAGGACTGTATTTGTATATGAAAATACAGCTAGTCGACTGCCAACTTGTTTCCTGTTTTTCCTCTAGTATCAGGGTCAAATAATTAAAAAGGCTAAAAAAGTACAAACCATTTTTTTTGAATGTGTCTAATATCTAGTGAAACCTGAAATAGTAAGTATTTTCATTTTAACCTTAAATATGTCATAATTATTAGACGTGGCCCAAAAGATCACAAACTTATATTTCTTTTGTGTATCATTACTTCACTTCTCTAGGACAGATCACTTGTATGTCTTCTTTATCCAGTGGAGTCCAGAGATATATGCAGAAGATACTGGGGAATCTCTTCGGGAACCTGGATTTATAGTGGTAAAAAAGAAGGAAGAGCCTGAAACTAGTGAAGAATCTACTACTGAAAATGCTGCTAAAGAGTGGGAGGTAAGGAAGAACAGTGTCAAAGACTTTTTTTAATACTTTCATAGGAGTAGAGTTAAAATAGTGTTAAATACTTTCCAATAAGAAAACCAGAGCAACCTGCTTTATTAGTCTGCTTACTATGATCATGACTGTTTAATTTATGCCATCCTAATGCTTTGCTCTAACATTAGTCCAGAGCAACATTTCACAATTACAAGTCATTTTTGTGTGGAGCAAATTGTAACTTAAAACTCGGAGTTGAAAGGAATGTGAGTACAACAAGGAAGTTGCAACTTTGATGAAGCAGACTTAGTTTTCAGGGAAGTAAACTGACAGTTGTCTGATATTTATTATTCCTGTATCTAGAATGTTGAATACTTATTGGTAAGTCTCAAAACGGGGATGAGACAAAAAAAAGGAAAATTAATCTATTACTTGTTTTTCCAATAATCCAGTAATTCTCAGTTATAACTTCTTCATACATTAAGATGCTGTTTCATGGATTTTGACAATATATTGTAACTGGAACTATCTCATTATATTTTTATAAAAACACATTCCTCCCATGTGAATCTGTGTCCGCTGTGTTTCTATGGACACATCTTTACATGTCTACATGGTTTTGTTTTGTAGTGTACATCTAGCTAAAGCACTTGTAGTCTTGTGTGTTCAAGTGTCAGTCAAAAGTTTGATGATTCTTGTCATATATATTGTAGAAGTATCCCATCAGCACTGTTTAACTTGAGTCTCAGGACAGCAATTGCTGTCTCCAACTGTAAGACTATTGCGGTTTTGATCGGGGTTTTTTTTCCCTTCCCCCTCCGCCTGTCCCACCCCACAATGGAGCTCACTGAAATTAAGGAAGTCTGTACTTGTGTCTTATGTAGAGTGTAAAAGAAATTTTTAAAAACTGCAATAGTCTTAATTACAGGTAATGCTTTTTTCTTGGCTCCAAAGCTTAGAATCATAGTGGAACTCTGACTTCAAACTTCTCACTTAGCTGAAATATTAGGCTGTGATTACAAAACACTGTCTCATACGCCTGGAGCATTTTTGCTTTGAGACATTGAAATTACTTTCATAAAAGCATGTGCTTTGGATCTTCATATTTTCAGTATATAGATTTCTGAAGTATATCTTACTGGTGATGTATTTAGGTGTTGACTGTTGCTCAAAGCCTTTATCAGAATTTGATGTTTTAAAACTTGGCCTTTTGGAACACAGGGATCAGTGGCAGGTGATCAGTATTATGGTTTAAGGCACTGTATGTCTCTCTAATGAACTTTTCAGTAACTTTGCACCTTAATATAATTACAGAATAATTTCCATAGACAATAGTGCAAACTTTTCTTCAGGATTAAATGTTACCACTTCTTAGGTTATTTCTGAAGATAGTAGAGGCAGTCATTTTCTTACATGTATTAAATAAAACCTGTGAGTGAGTTACTACAGACTGAGGTCATGCCTTGAGCCTTTATTTAGGTCTCCTCTGGAAACAATTGTGGAAGACCTAATTCAAAAATACTACTTCCATATGTGTTATGTGAAAAATTGTCAAGTTTGCTTCTAAGATTATCAAATAATAGTTTTCTGGATTTAGAAGTTGATGTGATTAGTGGGAAGGATAACACTTTTAGAAAAGATATTATGCAAGTACAAGAAATACACTAATATGCTTTTCTGTGCATTTTAGCTTGAGTAATGTGACTTCTTATGACTGACTTCTAGCACAAATCTGAAAGCTGTTAAAAAGTTTTTAATCAGAAATGTTTGACAGTACCAGATGGTTCAACCTGTCATTACATACAACTGCATTTTAGTGGCTTTTAATGTATGTGCTATAAAGTATCAGTACATAGAGGGAATTGCAGCTGTGTTGTCATACCCATTATTCCCGTTGAACTTCAGTCACTACTTTCAATCAATATACTTTCTTCCTTTAACCCAACAAGCTTTTTATGTCAGCTCTTGATGCAGGTTTAATCTAAGATAGCGTGTGAGCAGCATCATTGAAACCTTTTTGTGGGTATTGGGTTGAAAAATAGACTGCCTTCTTCAGAATACAGTGATGGGAAAACTCAGGCTGGAAGGGAAATGGAAAGCAAAATCTTGATGTACAAATGCGTCACAAAGTACTGTTGATCTGCCTAAAGAGGAAGATAGTGGAGTAGCTTTCTCTTCCAAAAAGTGTTCTCTCTGATATCGTTGTACAGTATCTTAAAACTGGAGAAAAAGGGAAGAGGATTAAATAGGTAACCGAGGTGTGGTGCTCTGAGACAGCATCTGCTTCTTTGAGGGTCCTATGCTAACACATTCAGCTGCAGCTTTTTATGAAGAGACTTGAAGGAAATACTGTGCTGTTTTGTTTTTTTTAGTGGAAGAATTATTATGGGAAGAAGGAACAAGCAAAAGCAAAGATCAGTAACATCTGAAACAAGTAGTAGGGGTTGTTTATGACTTTATTAAATGGATCAGTGAATAAGACTGCACTCTTACTCTGAACTTACTCCAGTTTTTCACCAGCTTATGCTTTCTTCCTCTACATATATGCAGAGTAGTCTGTTTCCTATCAGCCTTTTCCCTGATGTAACGTCAGCTGCTCTAGTGGCAAAGACATCAAGACTCCTGCTGTCATATTAAATGCGAGTTTGATCAAATACACTGCATGAAGTGTTTGGAAAAAAAAAAAGTCCAGGGAGTCATTTAGCCAGTTCTTTTTGTATTATATGCTACACACTTAACAGATAACTGAATTAGTAGTAGATTCATGGTTATTTCTAATATCTAACATATTACTGTCAGCAAAGGTGACTAATTCATAGTCATCAGTTACTTAAAACCAACTCTGTGGGGTACCTCGTAGCTCCTGTTGCTGACATTCTTCCTCAGTATCTGCCTTCCTGAGAGGCCTCTGCCTGTCCCGTTAGGAAAGCTCTCTAAAAGAATGCTTTCTCACAAGATCAGTCCGTGCTAAAGACTTGTCTCTGGTGTCCAGTAGAAAAGAGTAGACAAGAATATTGGTTTATATGTCATGTAAGAAATGAAACTCTGCTGCTAGTTTCTTGGTGGTGTTAATCCCCATCCATTTTCCTCAGAGATCTCTCTTACCTTCTTGTACTTAAGTGAATAGGCAAACACCAAGGAAGAGGCTGTTTTGGGTTGTGGGTGGGTGGGGATTTTGTGTTCCTGGGGTTTTTTTACTCTCTGTACTGAGCCTTGGGGGGGGGTAAACATATATTTATCATGGTGGTATTTTTTTTACTTAATATGTAAATGTTCAAGTGCTAATGGCTTGCTTTATCTGTTAGCACAAATTATTAATGCTGTTTAGAAACCTATGTGTTTATAACCAATACTTCTCCAAAGCACATTCTGTACTTGCACCTAAACATGGCAAGCTTTGACAGCAAGCTGACTGTTTTTGTTGTGCAGTGCCTCGGAAACAACTTCTGTTGGTACTTTATGGTCTAATTTGTTTCCTTTTTAAGTTCAAGTTGGGTATATAATAATGTGTATATATATTAATGATGTAGTATTAAGGTGCTTGCTGTCAGATAGCTGCTGGTGAATTAACATCTTGATGTCAGTTAGTGTCATAGATTGAAAGCATTAAGGAGTTTGGTAAAGGCATGGTACCACAGTATTTGAATGCAGGTATGGGTCCTCAAGCACTGCTGGTAGAGTTGGTCTTATGCTTTAAGAAGTTTAAGATGATGGAAAAGGGAAAAACTGCTTGAATTCTCCTATGGTCTCCAAATCCTGGTTGAGAAATGAGTTTTCAAGTAAGACAATTATTTCCTATTTCTATTAAAAAAAAAAGAGGAGGCGGCGTGGGAAGCGATATCTCTGTTTCTCATCAATTCCAGTTATTCAGTTACTCTACTGTCATTTTCCTAAAACATATTGTGAAACTTTGGGCTTGTTTCCACTGCTGTTGGTGTATGAAGTGGCACATGACACTTTGAAGTTGACCACTGGAGGAAAAAGACATGGAAAGCAAGTACTCATGTAAAAAGTCATTAACTGTATCGGGGAACTAGTATAGAGTTAAATGAGGTAAATCAACTTTCCACTGAACTTGTGTGTACATAGTGTGCTGATAAGCTCAAATATTTTTCTACAGCAGTTAGCATACACGTGTAAATAATGCATTAAAATTTTTAGAGAATCAGTTTACCATATCTGGGAGGGGGGATAACTGAAACTAATTTTTTCCAAGTAAGATTTTTACAGTTTCAGTAATGCTAGATACAAAGGAAATAGCTGTGCTCTTAATAATTCATTGCAGGGAGGAGGGCATTAAAGGGAAAACAATAAAAATTACGACTTGCCTAAGAAACATTAGTGCGTAAAGGAGAAAGGACACAATTTGTGCTTTCCTGTGTGAGTTTTATCGTAGAATTTTTGCACCTTCTGTTTGTGTGTAACTAAAGCACTTAGCTGGTCTCTTTGGGGGCGGTGGGGGGGGGACGGGAAGAAAGAAAATAAATTAGAGATCAGAATACCTTCATTTTCTTGTTGAGTGCTTCATCTGTGAAGCTAATTCTCAAAGTTCCTGACGTTCGCTGAACAATAAAGGGACTTGGTCTGTTATATTCTTTAAGTAGCTGGCTTGTTTTGATAGGAGCTGGAGAACTGGGATGCACCATTATGTTGACTGTGTGTGTATAAATGCACTTTTTATTTCACAGAATCACAGAATCACAGAATAGTAGGGGTTGGAAGGGACCTCTGTGGGTCATCTAGTCCAACCCCCCCGCCGAAGCAGGGTCACCTACAGCAGGCTGCACAGGACCTTGTCCAGGCGGGTCTTGAATATCTCCAGAGAAGGAGACTCCACAACCTCCCTGGGCAGCCTGTTCCAGTGCTCCGTCACCCTCAGAGGGAAGAAGTTCTTCCTCATGTTCAGACGGAACTTCCTGTGCCTCAGTTTGTGCCCATTGCCCCTTGTCCTGTCACTGGGCACCACTGAAAAGAGCTTGGCCCCATCCTCCTGACACCCACCCTTCAGATATTTGTAG